ATATAATGCAAAACTTCAATTAATGAAAATTTAATTTTCATTTCATTTCATTTCATTTCTTCTGTTTGGCTAGCCACATTTAAGCTAAGCAATAGATACATGTGCCTAATGGCTACTGTATTGGACAACACATATTATAAAATATTTCCACCCCTTCAGAAAGTTCTATTGGACAGCATCGCTCTGGAGTTAAGAAGCTTTCAGAATGTTCTTTTATATTACCCCAAGATGATTATGAACACTTGCTGAGAGTCCCAAGAGTACAGCTTATCACATGCCGGCCTGGCTCCATCCAATCAGATAGAAGCCAAAAGTAGAAGAAAACTACATGATGTCAATTCCCCTTGCAGGATCTTTAGTGAAGCCATCACAGGCTAAATATTATGCAAGAAAACCCTCCAGAACCCGGGGGCCCATCAAAGCAAGATGACTCACATCTTAAGATCCATTTTAAGGACGAAGATAAAGTTCAACATAAGAGATTTGAGAATGAAAGAGCAAAGTTGAAGACTGCTTATTTTTAAAATGGTCCTTGAAACATTAGAATTCATAACTTGTTTGAATTGCTAATACTCACGATGCCCTTGTGGGTTGTTGAATTCTGTTTTTCTACCTGATACTAGTCCCAGTAAGCAACCAAGCATTTAATTCCTAAATTTGCATGTGAGTCAAAAGAACAATCTTGCTATAATACCTAAATTTCGATTCCACAAGAGAGAGAACATTCTCATGTAAGAATAGGAACTAGAGACACTATTATAATAGAATGTAGTTATGTATTAGGGGGGAAAAAGAATGTAAAGGGAAAAACCAAGATTCCTCTGGCATTTGGTACCAAGGTTCTCATATACCACCTTTAGTAAAATGGCAACAGAGACATTCCAGAGGATCAGGAAAGAGATAAAATGGATATTACAACCAAGACCATTTTCATGGTACTTAATGTAACAAGAACTGAATTCTGGACTATATCATTTCAACCATGAGAAAACAGGTGTTGAAACCTACCCACCCAGCAGTTTGAAAAACAAGCCTTGGGCTGCTGCTGGTGGCGTAGAGATATTTTCTAATGGTCTGTAACTGGGGCCCATTTTTCTCTTACACCACTGAACTTCATAACCCTTAGTAACTCAGAAGGCAAATTGTGCCCATGGAACAAATGAAGAAGAGCACAAGAATGTGAAAGTTCACTTCCCAAGGCATACGGCTAACAAGTTTGCTTTTTTATTCAAATATAGCTGGATTATAGAGAATGACGGGAAGTAAATAAAAGAACAATTGGACTAGCTTTTGTTTTCTTAAATAACAAAAACTAGTATTATGTAAAAACAAATAGAATGTACAGTTGGGTTTTGTCGAACAGAGAAGAATGATAAATTAAAATCCTTAAGTCATGAGGAAAGTTGACATTTTCTCCTGAAATATTGGAGTTTTAGGTTCAGAAACTATATTAGAGTTGAGAGATCAAGCTTTCAGAAATCAGGAAATTCCAAAGCAAGCCTACAGCAGTGCTTACTTGGACACATTACACATGGTACATATTTTACGGTCCATGTTTAAAAAATAGCTGGGAGATGAAAAAAAAGTTCCACACATTTCAGCATAGCAGAATAAGGTCTATAGCAGAAGGGAGAAGTTTGAGATGTCCCGAACACTAGATTCTGTTAATCTAGGTTTAGCAATTTGTTTTATTTTTTTTGTTTTTTATTTTTAAAACAACAGTCATCCCAGTTGAAAAAATATATGTGTGTGTGTGTGTCTAAAGTACTGTGTCTATCACCATCCTATAAATCTGAGAGGTGGCCCCCTCTTTTGGCAACTCTCTAAAAATCTCATGAAATAAATGCTTATTTTCTTCAACTCCAGACCTTAATTTTCTATCTTTGGAACTTAAAAATACTTACATAATTGTCTTCAAATATGGCTTGACTTTTCTTCTTTGATGGAAACAGCATTCCTGCCAACTTTAAAATTTATAGCTACAACCATATTTTTTTAATTTTTAGAAGCACAAAAAAATACCACAACCTCTTAAGTGATTTTGAAATGAATATTTCTTCATATTCATAATTATCCCATGTCACACTGAAATGTACTCCAGCTCCACATACAAATGGAAAGAACATTTACCTCTGAGTCTCATTTGGAGACAATATCAGCAACTAAAAAAAATATTCCAGTGGCAATCATACTCCGGGCATCATAAATTGCATAACAAAGTAAAATGATGCAACTAGTAATCAAATTCCTCTGTGTCTCTCTCTCTTCTCTCCCTCTCTCTCTCTCTCTCTCCCCCCTCTGTGTGTGTGTGTGTAACTTTCTCACTTTTATAGACTACACCATAGTTTTCAAAAGCACTTTCACATAACTTCAATAATCTGATCTTCCAACAACCCTGAAAGGTACACAAAACAGGGATTATTTATTATTCCATTTGATAGAGCAGTAAACTGAGATGCAGAAAGGCTAAATGACTTGCCAAAACCCAAAGTTCACCAGTACCAAACCCTGGAAAAAATATCCAGACTGCTGATTCCCATATCAATCCTTTAAAAGAGAGTTTAGATGTGGAGTTTAAATTCGATGAAAAATGTGCAAAATTTTTAGGTTTCTAAAGCAGTTTGAACAATACTTCTTTTTTCTCCCCCATCATAAATGTTCCTAGTCTATGTCACTGCTGGAAAAGTGGGGTAGTCACCTGGATTACAGAGACTGCACCAAAGGGCTGAATTTGAACGTGTTTATATGTGCAAAATTATATGACTTTGAAAACCCAGTCCATATAATACTGTATTTGAACAGCTTCTGATGTAGAAAATAATGAAATTTACTGGAGAAAATAGACACTGGACCATTTATCTTTAAAAGTAAGTAAAAGAGTAATCTAGGGGGAAATGATTCAAGAAGACTATATGGGTGAAATTTAAATCCTAACACTGGGGCGCCTGGGTGGCTTAATCGGTTAAGTGTCCGACTTTCGCTTAGGTCATGATCCTGCGGTTCGTGGGTTCGAGCCCCGTGTTGGGCTCTGTGCTGACTGCCAGCTCAGAGCCTGGAGCCTGTTTCAGTCTGTGACTCCCTCTCTCTCTGACCCTCCCCTGCTCACTCTCTCTCTCTCTCTCTCTCTCTCTCTCTCTCTCTTCTAGAAATAAATAAAACATTAAAAAAATTTAAATCCTAGCACTGATTACAAAACTTATTCAAAAAAAGTGAATCCTTCCATACTCATTATGATTTTTTTTACATTTACTCCTTAAATCAGGTACCACAACAGGGCAGCATTGCAACATCCTTTTCACTTTTAAGTTATGGTGTCAAGTTTACATCTACATCTGCTACATTTTTATAAGAATCTAACTGGTGTTTGTAACCAATAAAAGTCAGTATTAAAGGCAGCATTCTCATTAATTCAAATGACTCAAGGATTTGTTTTTCTTTTCAATTCCTCAAAGAAGCAAGTGAAGTAAGTGGAGAATGTGTCAGCTTAACTTTTTACATGTGTTTCTCTCTAGTTTTCAATTGTTAGGCAAGCTCCTAAGGACAAAAATATTTTTTTCTTTTTCTTATATATTATCACCCCTAGCAACTAAGTATGGAGCCTGGCACAGGCCACATGGAGTTCACAGACTGTGCTGGAAACTGGGCAGAAATTCTCAGGTTCCCCCTCCAAGCCCAGGAATAGAGAAGTGTATCAGAGTCTCGGTTTATTCCCCCCAGCGATATCCCAAAAGGAAATGAGCAGTACATGTGGTGACAGCCATAGGGGTTAAAAGAGAGGGAAACAGGTCTGTGGGAAGTGCCTGTGGAGAAAATACCTATCTCCAAGTTGGAGTGGGTAGTGTGGCTAAAAAAACAACTGACCTAAGGAACATACTCATCAATGTGTTCTAACAACTTTACACATAGGTCACAGACAGAAAATATTTGAGAAAAACTAATCTACCACACAATGGATGCAAAATATACACACACCCTTGGTTAAGCCATCACAAGGACAGCCAAGTTTAGAATGAGACAATTGTCTGTTGGATAATTGGGCCTTTGCTCCCTAAAACATGGCTATAAATTATTCCTCAGGCCACTGTTTAGTTTAGATCACATAATCTACGTGCTGTTGCCTCTAAGTCAGAATGTAATTCAATAAATTAACATTCTGTTATGTTACATTTTTTATTTGTCCCTGTTCTTGAATTTTCAGTTCTAGTAACAGTAGATAGGTCCCTTTGCTTTATATTTAAATAAAATAGACTATGTTTTATGTACCTGAAGTTGGAACCACATACGCCACAAATATATTTTAGAGTTAGAATCAAAATTCCTTAAAAGCAAAGAAAAATTAGTTCCACTAAAGGGCAGGAAAAAATGGTGAATTCAGGATCTTGAAAATGTTGCATGATGAATAACCAACTTGAATAACAAAATATGTCTATGTGACAATATCAGTGAATATAACAATAGAATATTAGAATAGAATACACTTATGATGGATTAGCAATATATAGACAGTTTATATAAAGTATATATAGTTTATAAGAAAGAGAATGTTCATCTAAAAAGCTTCCATCTAAGTTTACAAAAGATAGTTTTAAAAATAGGCTTCTATATTCTGAATTAGAGATGTTAAAATAGCTTGTATCCTGTGAATTGCATTTGATGTTTCAAATCTATGTGAGAAAGTGTTCCCAAACATATTTTAAATGTGCATCTGTTACTGCTTATCTATGAGAGTTCAAGTACAAACTGCAGATTATCATCCAAAAACAATGAATATCTAAGACACATATGACTTCATATGCTGCACAATGAAGGAGCCAACTACTTTATCGAGAAAACATGGCTTCATGGCCATGAGGCTCAGACCTCCTACGTGGTTGACTCAGAGTTAATTCTGACACAGAATGTGCTCTCAAAAACAGACAGGATTGTAGTAGAAATTCACAATGTGTATTCTAGACAAACCATCAGGAGGAAAGCATGTGGCAATCAAGTGTTGTACGTACTTTGCAAATCCAATGAAATCTTCATGGTTGGTGTTGATGTAAGAGACTTGGATGTCAATCAGTAGCAGTACCTATAAATCAAAGAGAAACACTTCAGTAAAAACTAATAATAAATATTCTCAAACACAAAACTCAATAATTGCCTACAAATTATTTATCTTTATTTAATTTTTTAAAGGATGCTTTAATTAAAATGAGAAGTTGCATAATTTTTTTATTAGACCCTTACAATTTTTACTGTAAATTCAGAAATTAAAAGTCTACATAAAAAGTCTGAGTCCCATGTGAAGACAACAACATTATAGTTTAAAGGCATGGACTCTTTGCTTATTTAACACAGAACCTAGGATTATTCTAGTCCTCTAAAATGTAGGCATAAATGTTCAAAAGAAGGACACATGTGTACCAGTGAGAGGCTGCTCAGAGCTTCCTGTTCCTGTAGGCACTATAATTTTGCCTTGAAATAACAATATTATCTCTTGTTTTTCTCCTCCTCTCTTCTATCTCTTTAAGCTCATTCTGGGCAAGCAGAAGAAACATCTCATCAACCAATTCTAAAAGGAAATATACAAATAAATAGAAAACTTCCTTGAGATCAATAGGTCTCATTATCAAAGCAAAACTTCAGTCAGGTAAGATCACCTCATCAGAGGGATCCTCCCTGCTACCTAAGCTAGCACTCTATTTGTACCCTATTACTCTGCCTTATTTTCCTTTGTAGCACTGCCACTAGCTGACATAGTAAGTTTTTACTTATTCAGTATACAGAGCCCATATGCCATATCCACACTCTATTCCCAGTCCATCAAACATCATGGACATTCAATCAAGATTTGTCAAGGAATGAACTGAATGCATGTTCCCATAAATATGAAACATGAATATGTTCTAATCATGAGATACTTAATAAACTTTAAGTCAGAGATTTGGCAAGTCCTTCTGTAGAAAATATTCTTCAATAGGAGACAAGAGAGGGTAGAGCAAAGAGCAACCAACCAGACACTGTAAGAGAGTTTTATTTCAGAGATATTCAAAACTGAGTTCCCCTTCCTAAGATTCCTTTTGTTCTCCCAACTGTGTCCCTTCTCTTCCTAGAATGCTGAGACTTGATAACAGAAAAATGTAAAAAATTTCAGAATCCCCGCCTGCATACCTCCAGAGCTCTGCATTTTGACTTTGTTGAATGAACTTTTGATAAACACAGTGAGCATGCTCCTGCTGCCTCCCTTTTCTGAAGATGACATTTGAGTGCATCAGAGCCCTCTTGATAACAGTTTACTGACAAAGTCTATGTAATGCTCCCCAGAGGGTACTTCCTCAGGAAAGTCTTACCAGGTCCTCACCTTATATGTTCACCCCAAACCAGGTTAGATCATGCTATTACAGTCATATAGACTATATATTGTCTATGCTTGTCTTACATTGTATATTGTCTATACATTATATTTTATATGTATATTTCATCTTATACTTTTTATTTGTGGTATATACCACAAATGTAACTAATTATTTGTATATATTTTGTTTGCTTGTTTTTCTTCCTTGCAAGACTGTAAGTAAGCTCAGGGTGCCTGGGCGGCTCAGTTGGTTGAGTGTCCTACTCTTGATATTGGCTCAGTTCATGATCTCGTGGTCATTGGATTGAGCCCTGGGTCAGTCTCCATGTTGGGAGTGGTTACTGCTTGGGATTCTCTCTCTCCCTGTCTCTCTGCCACTCCCGAGCTCTCTGTCTTTTTCTCAAATAAATACATAAACATTAAAAGAAAAAAGACTGTAAGTAAACTTCTTGGAAGCAGGAGTTACATTTGTCTTGTTCACCACTTATCCCCAGAATGTAGCATGATGCACATAGTAGGTGCCCAGTAAATATGGCTACAAATTTATAACTGTCTACCAGCCTTGAAGAAGAGTTTGCTTTAAAGGGACCAATTTATTACCATATAATCAGTACATGACCACTCACTGTTGTCACTCACTTACTACCCAATGCTATAAGCTCTGAGGCTTTGCTTTTATGGCTAATCTCAGCTAGTCATCTGACCAAACCTTGCTGTGAGTCCCAAAGGGACCTGACAAAAAGAATAAATGTATCACCCAAATCCATCCCTACTACCAAACATAAAGTCAAGGTCGGTACTATTAGGTCAAATAACATCATACTTTTATGAAAAAGTTTCATATCGTCAGATGCATCTTGTCTTAATGAATAAAACTCTAGAGTTAGGAGGAGTCCTCATTATTAGATTGTCTGTGGTATTGCCTCTATGCTCCCAACAATAAAGCCAGATTCTGTTAAATGTTATACTCCCAAATCCATTTGGCCAGGACATTGTATCAATAAACCATAATGTTTAAGCACAAATTGTTACCACCATAAAGAGCAAAATATCTACATAATTCCAGCATTGCCAAAGGTTGTCATGAATATCTTGGCCATTCATGCACATTAACTTGGACTGCAGTATAGGGAAAAGGGGGGGGGGAATAAAAACTATGGCTGTTCTCATTCATATTCCTGGAAACTGGGAGTCTGTGTTCATCCTAGGAAAAGAGCCAGGTCGCATGTGGGGGAGGAAAAGGAAAATAGTGCATTTTTTTCACATTTTTTCACTTTCTCAGTGTTTCTCACTGCCTTTTTACCCACAGTTATTGAATATTTAAAGTAAAGCTACCCCTACTGGCAGTAATTGCCCACAAAGTCAGTCCCTTTAACATGCAATTACATGTATGGAAGCACCTGGAGTAATAGCAGGCACACGTATTTTAAAAACCTATGGTTTAGAAAAAAGTTCAGACAGATTTATCGTTCTTTATATGTTTAATATTGAAGAATTTTCCCCCCACAAAGCTTCCAGAGCAGAGGTTGGTAATTATTTCTTAAAAACTTTTAAAAACTGGGGCACCTGTATGGCTCAGTTGGTTAAACGTCCAACTTCGGCTCAGGTCATGATCTCACTGCTTGTGGTTTGAGCCCCATATTGGGCTCTGTGCTGATGGCTCAGAGCCTGGAGCCTGCTTTGAATTCTGTGTGTCTCTACCTCTCTGCCCCTCTTCCACCACTCCTCTTCCTCTCTCTCTCTAAGAACAAAGATTTAAAAAAATTTTTTTTTAATTTTTTAACTAAAAAAGAAAACCTCAAAGCATTTTTGGTACAGAAGTCTGAGGAAATGGGTCACTCTCTTACCAGCTACTTTGGAAGCATCATATGACCCAAAGCAGCACAGAGTTCAGAACTCAAATGTGAGATCTATGCAAACTGACACCTTTACATTACCAAGAACATGAATGTTTTCACGGTGCCACACAGGTCCCTACTATAGGTGTCAAGCACCAGCTTTCTCAGGTGATTGACTGATGAACTGTCAGACCAGGACTGGCCACCTAGTAGAGAGACACCTGCTCCATTCCTTATCTCCCACTTGGGGAATTAATCACTACATCAGAGTTGCAGAAGAAAGACAATTTCTCTTGAAATTAGAAAAAGGCAGGGTGCCTGGGTGGCTTAGTTGGTTAAGCGTCTGACTTCAGCTCAGGTCATGATCTCACAGCTCATGGGTTCGAGCCCCGCGTCAGGCTTTGTGCTGACAGCTCAGAGCCTGGCGCCTCCTTTCGATTCTGAGTCTCTCTCTCTCTCTCTCTCTCTGGCCTTCTCCCACTCGTGATCTCCCGCTCTCAAAATTAAATAAAACATTAAAAAAAAAGAAATTAGAAAAAGGCAATTCTTTCTCATAGATACTACGTCCCATAGTTCTTTAGGAAAAACAATAAAAACAACTAAAATTAATGAAGAACTAAGAACTATATTTGGATACTTCATTTCATCCTCATAAAATGCCTATGAGTTAACTACCATTATTACCCCACTTTAAGATGAGGAAACTGAAGCATAAGATGTCAAGTACCTTATTATTTACACAGAAAGTAACGGTAGAGGTTGAATTCAAACTCAGGCAGTCTGAACCTGAAGCCCACAGGGGTGTCTGGGTGGCTCAGTTGGTTAAGCATCCGACTTCAGCTCAGGCCATGATCTCACGGTTCCAGCCCCGTGTCAGGCTCTGTGCTGATAGCCAGCTCAGAGCCTGGAGCCTATTTTGGATTCTGTAACTCCCTGTCTTTCTCTGACCCTCCCGTGCTCACGTTGTCTCTCTCTCTTTCTCCGAAATAAATAAAAACATTTAAAATTTTTTTAAAAAGAATGAACCTGAAGCCCACAATCTTAACAATGCTAAGTTTGATTATATTATTTTAGTAAAGTGAAAACTATGAAACGTGAAGAAGTTAACTGCTTAGACATGAAAACAAAGATAATTAAGATAATAATTGTACTACTTATTCTTCAATATTATTTTTACATAGGATCCCTAAGAATTAAGTAGGATATCTTGTCCTTTGAATTTAATAAAATACGGATACTAAATTAAAAGTTTGTTATCTTATTGACTTAAGGTCAGGAGTACAGTTGATACTAGAACTTAAGTTTTCTTGGTCCAACAGAAGGCATGACATTAGATGGGGGGTGGGGGGGGTCTTCTGGTGTCAGGGTTTTATATCTGACCCCAGGCTTGATTTCATTGGCTCGAGTTAACAATGATTTGTTTATCTCCACTAAGTCACAAAGCCTATTTTCTCCTCTTTATGGCTATTGTAGCTATCCAAGGGTGTGGAAGCTGGAAAACAAGTGAAAACTATGAACAATGGTTAATTAACTTTCAAAGCACAATAATAAAAATTAGTAGCAATGTATCCCATAGCCCAAGCTGATAGTAAGCTTTTACTGAGTTACAAATATCTCAACCTACTGGGCCTCCATCCTGTCTCTTCACTTTCTCCTTCCACTCCTTTCCCCCCACCCCCAGTTCCACCCCACCCCTGCATGCACCCTCTGTGGCAGTTTGCCTGTGTGTCTCTCTGTGGTTAGTCTCTCTCTTCTATTTTGCCTTCTCCTTTTTCCCTGGCTTTTCCTCTCTGCCTTTCCAACTCACCTAAGAAGCACAAAATCTTGGAATTCTAACTTAGAGAGACTTCTGAAATCACATAGACCAACATCCCAAAGTTGTACATGAGAAAACAAGTCTGAGAAATGATTTCCACAAGAACATGCTGTTATTTTGTAAAGAACACATGGCCTGCATCCAGTGTCCTCTACATGCTGTCACAGCTGTGTCCTAGAATTGAAGAGCATTTGAAAACCTTCATGCTTCCCATTATGACATTTCGTAAATAACTAAAAACAAAATCCACCTAAATTTAGGAATAGGAAGCTTTTATTATTTACACATAGTCCTTAGCTTTTTCTAATGAATTACCTTTGCATAAAATAACCTTTTGAATTAAAAGAACTAAATGGGATTAGAAGATAATTTTAAGGTCACTCCTTTATAACCCATATACATTCACTAAATAGAAATGTTTAAAAGAACTGTTTTTTTTTTTTAATGTTTATTTATTTTTGAGGGAGCGAGAAAGACACACACAGTGCAAGTGGGAGAGGGGCAGAGAGGGATGAAGACACAGAATCTGAAGCAGGCTTCAGGCTCTGAGATGTCAGCACAGAGCCCATGAACTGTGAGATCATGACCTGAGCCAAAGTCGGACACTTAACTGACTGAGCCACCCAGGTGTCCTAAAAGAGCTGTTATTAAACATTTTGTTTTCTAATCACAGGTTCCATGGATAAGCTGATGAACAGCTTTCTCCATTCACCTCAGGGGGAAAAAATTGAAACACTGAACATTCTTCATGACATTTAGGAATTTATGAGTATCCTGATACTTATCTGTCAGCTCATTAAAAGCTAAGAACCTCTGCTTAAAGAAAACATGTGGTATGTCTCTGGATTATTGGTTTTCAAAGTGGAGTGTGTACATGCGAGGGGTATACCTGATAATCCATGGAGCACTGAGAGGGAAAAAGTAATGGAATTCCTATTACTGTTTTCTAAATGTCATCTTTCAAAGTTCTTACACTCATTTATATTTTCAACATACACAAGATGTGAGCATAGCAACACATGTATAAAATTCATAAATAAGTAAAAATAAGCATATATAGTTGTGTTCTTTTTTCCATTCAGAGAAAGCCCAACTGTTGGAGACCACCAGACAGCGGTGGAGAGACCTTCCACTTCCTTGGAGAGACCTTCCACTTCCAACAAAGATCCTGCCCACCAAGGAAGTCTCCCCTCACCTGGTCCTTTGTCTTCCCTTCTCGCTCACGAATATGGTTGGCAACAATCCTTTCTGTTTCCTCGCAGAGTCTTGGGAAGTTTGCCAGCTGTTAAGAGAAACAGATCTGACTGTTAATACACAAAAAGTTATACTGCAAAAAAGGAAGCAAAGATATATTATGTTATCTTATAGAAGGTAAATATTACAAATCCAGAAGGAAAAGTACAATATCCTAAAGAATGGCAGAGTGACAGAAGGGGCTCCACAAATCATAATTAAAATAACTACATTATCTGATGGGAAACACTTCAAAACCAGTAGAGGATTTCCCTGCAAAAACAAAAACAAAAAACAGAAATCCAAATGGCATCTAGTACTACACTCTACAGACTTAACACTTAATAAAGTTCAAAGATAAAGAAGATAGAAACTAGGATGAAAGAGAATAATGACTCACATTTATAGAGTACTTACCATGTTCTAGGCTGTGTGCTTAACACCTCATGAATTATCTCATTCAAAATCCACAATGATCATAAAAGATAGATTTTATTATTAATCCCATTTTATAGAGGTGGGAAACAAAGCATAGAGAAGTTAAGCAACTTGCCCAAGACTAAACAGCTCAGAATTCATGGGTCTAGAATTCCAACCCAAGCTGTTGGGACTCCAGAGCCCATCATCTTGTCCACTACTCTTTAAGAAGGATTTATTCCATGAACCACTTAATTTTTTTAAGTTTTAATTTATTTATTTTGAGAGAGAGAAAGAGAGAGCACATGTGCATGTACACTTGAGTGGGAAGGGGCAGAGAGAGAGGGAGAGAGAATCCCAAGCAGGCTCCCTGCTTTCAGAGCAGAACCCAATGACAGGCGTCTTGATCTGACCAACTGGGAGATCATGACCTGAGCTGAAATCAAGAGTTGGACGCTCAACTGATTGAGTTACCAGGCACCTTGAGATCATTTTTTAAATTCTTCCCTAATAGATATGTTTGCATGTACATACTTTCTGGCAAAACTGTAGAAATAGTTCATTTCAATCATTATCCCATCTAAATTATGCAGTAATTGTCAAAAATTTAATTTGCAAAAGGGAATGAATTAATCATAGTTGTTTTCAACGCAATAAAGAAGAAGAATGGAATGCTACAAGAATGTTTAAGGAGGCCTAATCTAGAAGGACATAGGTTACGTTGTGTAGAACCGTTGTGGGGAAAATGGAGCTTTCCAGGCAACAGTGTGATGGCAATGTGGAACAAGGACAACAAATGGTAAAGGAAGTAAAGAAAGATCAGAGCAGAGAGTGAGGACGATGGTCTTATGGTGAAACTAAAAATGTACACAGGGGTCTGATCAGGAGGATCCTTGCATACCTGCAATGAATTTTGGCCCCTGAAGCAATTCAGGAATGAGAAAAATCCTTCTGGAAAGCAACTTGGCAATATGTATCAAAAAAATCTCAAAACCCCCTGTGTATCTGTTAACCTAATTATTTCATGGGATTCTGAGATGAAATAATAAGGACATTCATCACAGCATTGCTTGGAATAGCAACAATAAGACAAATAAATAAAACTGTTTTTATTTTTTTCTAGTTTATTGTCAAGTTCGTTTCCATATAAGTTCTTGTGCTTATCCCAACAAGTGCCCTCCTCCATGCCCTCTCCCCCACCCCCATCAGTCCTCAGTTTGTTCTCAGCATTTAGGAGTTTCTCATGGTTTGCCTCCCTCCCTCTCCCCACTATTTTTCCCCTTCTTCTCCCTCATGGTCCTCTGTTAGCTTCCTCCTAATACACCTATATGTGCAAATATATGGTATCTGTCCTTCTCTGCCTGACTTATTTCATTCAGCAAAACACCCTCAAGTTCCATCCATGTTGCTAAAAATGGCCATATGTCATTCTTTCAATGAGAAAGAATGTAGTATTCCATTGTATAGATAACCCCCAACTTCTTGATCCATTCATTAGTTGATGGACATTGGGCTCTTTCCATGATTTGGCTATTGTTGAAAGTGCTGCTATGGGGTGCCTGGGTAGCTCAGTCAGTTAAGCATCTGACTTCGGCGCAGGTCTCACAATTTGTGAGTTCGAGCCCCACATCAGGCTGTGTGCTGACAGCTAGCTCAGAGCCTGGAGCCTGATTCAGATTCTGTACCTCCCTCTCTCTCTGGTCCGTCCCTGTTCTCTCTCTCTCTCTCTGAAATAAATAAAACATTTTTTTTAAAAAAGTGCTGCATTGAACATTGGGGTATATTTGCCCCTATGCATCAGCACTCCTGGATCCCTTTGGTAAATTCCTAGCAGTGCTATTGCTGGGTCATATGGGAGTTCTGTTGTTAATGTTTTGAGGAATCTCCACACTGTTTTCCAGTGGGGCTACACCAATTTGTATTCCAACAGTGTAGGAAGGTGCCCATTTCTCCACATTCTTGCAGCATCTGTAGTCTCCGGATTTGTTCATTTTAGCCACTCTGACTGGCATGAGGTGGTATCTCAGTGTGGTTTTGATTTGTGTTTCCTTGATGATGAGTGAAGCTGAGCATTGTTTCATGTGTCTGTTGGCCATCTGGATGTCCTCTTTGGAGAAGTGTCTGTTCATGTCTTTTGCCCATTTCTTCACTGGATTATTTGTTTTTCAGGTGTGGAGTTTGGTGAGTTCCTTATAGATTTTGGATATTAGCCTTTTATCTGATATGTCATTTGCAACTATCTTTTCCCATTCCGTAGGTTGCCTATTAGTTTTACTGACTGTTTCCTTTGCCGTGCAGAAGCTTTTCATCTTGATGAGGTCCCAGTAGTTCATTTTTGCTCTTGATTCCCTTGCCTTTGGGGATGTGTCAAGTAAGAAATTGCTACGGTTGAGGTCAAGGAGGTTGTTTCCTGCTTTCTCTTCTAGGGTTTTGATAGTTTCCTGTCTCACATTCAGGTCCTTCATCCCTTATGAGTTTATTTTTGTGTATGGTGTGAGAAAGTGGTCTAGTTTTGTTCTTCTGCATGTTGCTGTCCAGCAACATCTATTAAAGAAGCTGTCCAGCACCATCTGTTAAAGAGGCTGTCTTTTTTTCCATTAGATACTCTTTCCCGCTTTGTCAAAGATTAGTTGGCCATACATTTTTGGGTCCAATTCTCTATTCTATTCCATTGGTCTGTGTGTCTGTTTTTGTGCCAATACCATACTGTCTTGATGATGACAGCTTTGTAGTAGAGGCTAAAGTCTGGGATGGTGATGCCTCCCGGTTTGGTTTTCTCCTTCAATATTACTTTGGCTATTCGGGTTTTATAGCTCCATAAAAATTTTAGGATACTCTTCTAGCTTTGAGAAGAATGCTGGTGCAATTTTGATTGGGTTTGAATTGAAAGTATAGATTGCTTTGGGTAGTAATGACATTTTAACAATATTTATGCTACCAATCCATGAGCATGGAATGTTTTTCCCTTTCTTTGTGTCCTCTTCAATTTTCTTCTTAAGTTTTCTATAGTTTTCATCATACAGATCTCTTATATCTTTGGTTAGGTTCATTCCGAGGTATTTTATGGTTTTTTGTGCAATTGTGAATGGGATCAGTTTCTTGATTTCTCTTTCTGTTGCTTCATTATTGGTGTATAAAAAGCAAATGAATTCTGTACATTGATTTTGTACCCTGCGACTTCGCCAAAATCATGGATCAGTTCTACTAGGCTTCTGGTTGAGTCTGTGGTGTTTTCCATGTAGAGTATCATGTCGCCTGCAAAAAGTGAAAGTTTGACTTCATCTTTGTCAATTCTGATGCCTTTTATTTCCTTTTGTTGTCTGATGGCTTATGCTAGGACTTCCAGCACTATGTGAAACAATGGTGAGAGTGGACATCCCTGTCGTGTTCCTGATCTCAGGGGGAAAGCTCTCAGTTTTTCCCCATTAGGGAGGATATTAGCTGTGGGCTTCCCATAAACGGCTTTTATGATGTTTAAATAAAGTTCCTTCTATCCCGACTTTCTCGAGGGTCTTTATTAAGAAGCGATGCTGTATTTTGTCAAATGCTTTTTCTGCATCTATCAACAGGATCATATGGTTTTTATCTTTTATTTTGTTGATGTGAGGTATCACATTGATTGATTTGCGAATGTTGAACCAGCCCTGTAACCCAGGAATGAATCCCACTTGATCATGGTGGATAATTCTTTTTATATTCTGTTGAATTCGATTTGCAAGTATCTTGTGGAGGATTTTTGCATCCGTATTCATCAAGGATATTGGCCTGTAGTTCTTTTTTTTTTGCTGGGTCTCTGTCTGGCTTGGGAAACAAAGTGATGCTGGCTTTGTAGAATGAGTCCAGTAGTTTTCCTTACATTTCTATTTTTTTGAATACCTGGAAAAAATGGGTATTAACTCTGATTTAAATCTGGTAGAATTCCTCAGGGAAGCCATCTGGCCCAGGACTCTTAGTTGTTGGGAGATTTTTGATAACTGATTCAATTTCTTCACTAGTTACAGGTCTGTTCAGATTTTCTATCTCTTCCCATATGAAGTTTGGTAGTGAGTGCATGTTTAGGAATTTGTCCATTTCTTCTAAATTGTCCACTTTGTTGGCATATAATTTTTCATAGTATTCCCTGATAATTGCTTGTATTTCTGAGGGATGGGTTGTAATAAATCCATTTTCATTCATGATTTTGTCTATTAGAGTGCTCTCTCTTTTCTTTTTGAGAAGCCTGGCTAGAGGTTTATCAACTTTGTTTATTTTCTCAAAAAACCAACTCTTGGTTTCATTGATCGGTTCAACTGTTTCTTTGGTTTCTATATTGTTTATTTCTGCCCTGATTTTTATTATTTTCTTCTACTGGGTTTTGGGTGCTTTTGTTGCTCTCATTCTAGTTCCTTTAGGTGCGCTGTTAGATTTTGTATTTGCACTTTTTCTAGTTTCTTGAAATAGGCCTGGAGTGCAATGTACTTTCTTCTTAGAACTGCCTTTGCTGCATCCTATAGAGTTTGTATTGTTGTATTTTCATCCTCATGTGTTTCCATATATTTTTGAATTATTTCTCTAATTGCCTGATTGGCCCATTCATTCTTTAGTAGGGTGTTCTTTAACCTCCATGTTTTTGGAGGTTTTCCAGACTTCTTC